CCAGTGCAGCGATGTCCCAGGTCTGGTGGCTTTCCTGTGCACGCTATTGCCAGATTTCTTTTTTTAAGGCAAAGGTTCTGCACTGGAGTGTAGAGTTAGAAATGGTACCATCTGCAGAGGCTACGTGTTCTCTCTTCCTACCCGACCCTAAATCACCTTTTCATTTCCCTAATTAAATCAGCTGAGTCAGTCCTGTTCCTCTATTTTGAATCACCTTTAGACAAAAAGAAAGAGTTGACCATTTTGAGTGGTCAGTTCTTTGTAGAAAGGAGAAAATGTAATTGTGTTTTCTACCAGCCTACTACTAAGTGTCCCTGCCTGGTTTTTCTCCTTTTCAAGAATTAAAACTAGGAGGACACACCAGCATCGAGTGTATTCAGCCCCTTAAGCACATGGTAGCTAGTTACTGAACCCGGGAACTGTATGTCAACTGCACAAGCCCCCAAAGAATGTTCTTGCCCATGGGGTCTGGGGCCCCCTGGGAGACCAAGAATGACCAGATTCATCCAAACTGCTACAATGCCAGGCGAGAACCCTCTGTGGGTGCCCTACAGGGGAGCCTTCCTTGCATTAGAAAATTTCTGCTCAATACAGAACGGTTTGTATAACCCAAGGAACATTGTTGGAGATGCTATAGAGTTAAAACCAATGACACGGCCCTTTTGAACCTGGGACATCTAGATTTGCCTCAGGAGACCTGAGGGAAATCTGTGACCTGTAGGAAAGGACAAGACAACCATTGGGAATTCTCTAGATATGCTCAGCCTAACACAAAGAGATTGGCTTTGATCTTTTTCCTGATAGCATCTTGTAGCAAGTTGGAAGTCTCATGAGATAATGCTGCAGTTCCCTTGGTTCAGTAGCCCGAACAGTGATTTTAAATGTCCCATTTTCTGGATCTTTTGTAAACACGAATCATTCCATGGATGTCTGCCTTATAATTTTGTCTCTTTCCACTTTAATTGTGAATGGTTAAAAAAATTTTTTTGCTGTTTTCTGATTTATGATATTAAATTTTTATTAGTGCATACATTATGTGACTAGCTCATTAATTTTCTTCTTGGCAGTTTGCTTTTTCTGTTTGATGACCAGACTTGACCCACATTTGAACAGCAGGAAAGGTAATTAATAGCCTTGAAGGGCAAAGGAAAGATGTACCCACTGTGTGCATGTTCTTTGAAAAAGGAGGCGGGTATTAAGTATTCCATTCACTGTCTACCCCAGAAGATACCTGTTCATTGCAGGTCTTTCTTTTTTTCTTTCTTTCCTTTTCTTTCTTTCTTTTGTTCTTTAGCAAATACTCTTTATGAAGGTAGCTATCCACCCCCAGAAAGGAGAGGCAGGCCACAGATCCTCATCACAGGGGGTTCATTTCAGAGGGCAAAGTTGCTATATGAGTACACAGAGGCTGTGGACAATTGGCTCTGGAAACAGATTCATATAAAAGTGCAACTTGAAAATTTGATAAATGTTTTCTTCCTCTGAGGACTTTAGCACTGGAGCTCACTTTTTAACTCATGCAGTTAAGAACCATGTACAGCGATGTATCACTTAAATATACAATTTGTATACTTAGTCATTAGATTCTGTTGTTACTGGTCCACTTTGTGCTGGCTTTCTTTATGTATGTCATGTGCTACAGTAAGTTACAAAGATTGTGACCAGAGTTATATGTTTTCCGGAAACTTCTTGTGAACAGGCAAAAAGGACACATTCTTCTGATTCCTGCTGTCTCTGACAGAGGCCTTTGCATGGACTGCTGACATCCCTCCTTTGCCTCCAGCAGTGGTCTTTGAAATCTCAGGGAGCCAGCACTGTTCAGTAACAGCCCTGTCCTCCTGCTTCCTTGAGATCAAAATGTGCAGATGGTATATACATTTAGCCCAATAGCCAGCAATCCCTGTGTTGTTCAGTTTTGTTCCAAGTCTTCTAAGCTAGCTCTGTGTCTGACAGTGTGGTTTTTAATGTGGTAAATAAGCGACGTTGTGTCATCTTGTCCCTTTGTTCAGAACGCCAGTCCCCCAGCTCCTCCCCTCCTTTATTTTAGGTCTAGATCCAGAGTCCTCTTCCACTGGGCACCCTCACCCCCACTGCCCTATTTAAATTGTAATCTGCCCCACCCCCACCCCAGTGCTCCTCGCCCTGTTCTATTTTAATTTTGTATGGCACTGATGGCTTTTTAATCTGCTTTATAATATATCTTTACTTTGTCCCTCTTCCTCGATAAAATGAGCTTTGGTAAGCTAGTTCTTAATAAATATATGTTGTTAAATGAATTGGTCTGCCCTGAGGGGGCACTTTCTTCCCGTCCATGCCCCACCCCCACCAGCTGCTTCCCAGACCCCTGGCAGAACCAGAACCAGCTGCTGGCCTCAGGGTAGGGTAGCTCCACCTTTGTCTTACACAGGGGTGAGTGCTGCTTGAGTATTAGCAGGGAGGTTGGTAATCAGAAAAGACCTGGGTGTGCAGGTGGGAAGTTAACAGGGTTCAGGTTACTAGTCCCCCGTACTTACTAACCTTAGTAAGGTACTGCGTGACTGATGTAGAAAATCTGGATTCCATTTCTGGCTCCACTGCTGATGTCTGTTGCAGTGTTAGCCACTGCTCAGTTTTAAAAATATTGGCTAGGAATGTGAAAGCATGTGAAAGCATGTGTCCCACTCTGGTTACCTCATTTATCGAGGGATCCTGACACGATTCGAGAGTCACCAGAGGAGGTAGCCCGGTGCAGAAGGGATGGAAAGCCCAACACCGAAGGAGGCCTGGAAGGGACTGGCCGGTGTCCGGAAGGCCCTCGGGGGCAGAATTTGACAGCCGTCACCAGATGCTCAGAGGCTGTGAGGCACAGGAGAGCACAGATCCTGTGTTCTCCAGGGGCAGACTGGGGAAGTAAGCGGAGCCCCACCTCTCCTCTGCTTGTTGTTACCCACCTCTTCATTCAGTTCACTGAGCCCTTCCTGTGGACCAGGCACTCCTGGGTGCTGAGTGTACAAAGGGAGTGAGACTCAGGGCCAGTCCTTAAAGACCTTGTAGTTCCTTGAGGGATTCAAATAAGAAAATGCAGCGGCCAGTAGGTAACACATAGGGAAATAAGGAAGTGCAGGCTGCTCAGAGAACAGGGGGCGAGGAACCCAGAGTGGGGGACTTCTGGGAAGACACCCAGAGGGAGGGGAGACCAGAGCTGAACTCAAAGGCTGGGCAGAATGCTCTAGTGAAGGAGGTAGGAAAGGTTCTCTGAGCAGGAGGACCTATATGGGCTAAGCCCTGGAAGCACTTGCGCACAGAACGTGGACTCTGCATGAAGAGCCACTGGCTGAAGGGGGTGGGGGGCGGCAAGAGGTGGTGTGCAAGACATCAGTTCCCTGGGTGATGTCTAGGTTTCCAGACGTAAAATTATACAGGCAGTCAGGCCTAGCAAGGGTCTTTGTAATTCCTGCCTCAGCTCCAGGTGGATCCCCTTGCCAGGTGGTCTTGGCTGGCCTCTCAGTTCCTGTCACCACATGGATGACTCATGGACGTGGCAGTTGTTTCCAGATCTGTGCACTCCAGTGGCTCTGGCACCTCGAGGGGAGCTTGGCGACTTTTCTCCTCCCTCATCCCTGCTTGTCTCCCCCTCTTCCTGGTTGGGGCCCACGGGCTCCCATCATTCCCCTTGCGAACATCTGTTTATTACAGTTGTGCACAGAGGACCAGACTTGGCCAGGGAGGGGCGCCCACTTCCTTCTGTCACCTGGTTCTCAGTCCCCGACACTCCCGTACCCTCTGGTCTCCTTTATTAAAGGGGATGGGCTCTCCTTTGATGCCCACCCTCTGAGTCCTTTGGCCTACTGGCTTCCAACCTGCTTGTGACACCCTTTACCCTGCCCCCTCTCCCTGCCAGGTTCATCTACCCCACCCCCTCTTCTCAGGCAGCCAAGCTCTGTGACAGATAGTGGAGCCTAAGACCTATGCCTGGCCTTAGGAAATGCAGCCAAAGTGGAACAGAAGTCAGTGAAAAGATGTTTTAATCTTCAGAAAGGGGAGGAGAAAGTGGCAGCAGAAAAGGCTTTACAGAACAAGAGTCATTGGAACATGGTGGCTTCTCAGAGCATTAAATCCAGTGTGGCTGGAGCAGGGGCAGTAGCTCAGGACCAGACTGGAGGGTGTGACCATCAAATGTCAGGAGTTGGGAGCTGCGGTCCAAGGAATGGAGTCCCAGCTGCAGGTTTTAAACAGTGATCCTCTCTGGGCCTTGCAGAGATCACAGGAGTGATGGTGGGGAGTGAGGATTCCTTGGGGGACCCTGCTGTGGATAGACGGTGGAGGCATTTGAAAAGGGGAAGAGGGCCACATGAGGGAAGTTGGAAGGCTCAGAGTCCAGGGATTGTCCTCAGTTCACACAGTTAATGGCAGAGTCTGATGTAGACCCATCTTAGCATGAAAAGCAGGTGGCAAGTCGGCCATTAAAGATTGCTTTCACACGAATTCTCAGCCACCTCGCAGATTCTATTTTGTAGATGAGGGAGAGTAGAGGGCCTGAGAGGGCAGTGTTCATCCGGTAGGCAGACGGCAACAAGAACACACAGCACCCGAACGGGGGCCACGTGAAAACTACTCAGTGAGTGTTTATTGAGCACCTCCTACGTGCACATGCCTGGACTCTGTCCTCAAGGGGCTCAGTCTGGGACCTACCCACGTAGCTAAGTGAAACAAGCCAGACACAGAAAGACAAATTCCATATGATCTCACATGTGGAACCTAAAAGTCAAACTCACAGACCCAGAGAGTAGAATGGGGGCAGGGGCGGGGAAAATGGGAAGATGTTGAAGAGTACAAACTTTCAGCTGAATAAGTTCTGAAGATCTAATGTACAGTTAATAATGTATCATATGCTTGAAATTTGCTAAGAGTAGATCTAAAGCAGTAAGTATATGAGGTGATGGATGTGTTAACAAACTTGATCGTGGTAAGCATTTCCCAGTGTACACATGTGTTGAATCATCACATTTTACACCTTAAAATTATGTTGTACAACCTAGATATACACAATTTTTATTTCCATCATATCTGAATAAAGCTGAGGGAAAATGATAGGAAAAGAAAATATGTGCTCGTTATTAGGAGTCTATCCCTAAATGTGGCTGAGAGATGTTCATGGTGCAAACAGAACTGCATCTGCAGTTCTGCAGGAACTTGAAGCCTTCGATGAGTTGGAAGTTGAGCAAAAGTACTAGAGAAAAAGAGAAAGACTGAAAGAGGGGTCTCGAATTTTCCCAGACGGCCCTTCACATGGCGCTGTGCAGCAGTGGGATGGGCCTGGGCTTCGGAGCCAGCCCAAACCAAGTAACCGCATCCTGTCACTTCACTCAGGCCACACGTATCTGAGCACCCGTCGTGTTCCAGGAGATGACTGACTGGCTGAGTGACTTCAGGTAGACAACGCTTTTGAACTTCATTTTTTCTCATCTGGAAAACAAAAAGTAATGCATACCTCACTGGGGCTGTTTCAGAGATTAAATTAAACGGGTAAGATATAAAAAGTATGTTCGAACATCAGCTCTGCATCTGAGCACGAAGGGCTTTCAGGACCCTGAGCTTCCAGCCTTGACCGTTCACTGTTTCTGGTAACACTGCGCAGCCCTGGCCCACAGGGCTGGGGCACTGGATCGGCACCCAACTTGTTTGGTCTTTTCCTAGAAGTATCTGCCCGGCACGTGGCACTCCCACCAGCAGGGACAGCACAAAAGGAAGCAGAAACAGCCCTGGCTGGTGTAGCTCAGTGGATTGAGCGCGGGCCTGCGAACCACACGATCGCGGTTGGATTCCCAGTCAGGGCACATGCCTGGGTGGCAGGTCAGTTCCCAGCAGGGGACTCATGAGAGGCAACCATACATTGATATTTCTCTCCTCCTCTCCTTCCCTTCCCCTCTAAAAGTAAATAAATAAACTTAAAAAAAAAAAAGGAAGCAGAACCAGCTTCTCCCAAGGCTGCCTCGGCATGATCTGGGCTGGTTAGCTGAGCAAAGCAGAAACCACGTAAGCATCTAGTGTCCCCTGAACTTTCCCTCAGGAGTGTCTCCACCTGCCTTACCTTGGTTAAGGTCTGGTCAGAGGTCTCCAGACACAGGCAGAGGGGATGAGCAAGGTTGGTTTCTCTTCACCACGAAGAAATCGGTGCTTGCTTCCGTGAAGACACTGAATCTTTCCCAGGAGCCACCTGGGCTCCACCCAGCCCTTCTGTTTGGGAAGGACTTCCTTAAGAATGATTTTTCCAAGTATTCTGCCTTTCTCCTACCTATGGCTCCAGAGCTCATCCCGAGTCCTAGCTGGTACTGACCTGAAGAAGCAGAAAAGGAATTATTTTATTAAAAGGATATTGGCAGGGCTAGAGAACCACACCTAACCAGAGGTGCACCTTCCAGGAATGCCACCCAAGACCGAGCTGCAAAAGCAACTCAATGAGGAAGCTGCTGCCATTTGCGTGTGGCCAGGAGCCCACCTACAGTGCCAATGCTGCTTGGTGCCCTGGGAACACAACCTTGCAGCCACAGCTGACCCCCAAAGCAAGCCATGCCCATAGTACCACCTTCCCCTGAGAAAACCAATACCTGGGCATGGTTTTTCCTCACATTTGTCACCTGCAACTTTTGAGTGCAGAGTCCTGTCCTGGTGCCCATGGCCCGTAAACTCCACCCCATAGGCTTCCAACACAAGTTTTCTGGTTTCCATCTCGGGAAAGTAGGACTCCCAGAGTGGAGATTTTCCAAGCATTAGGACATGTCAAAAAATAGCCAAAACCATGTGAAATGGGCTTTCCTCATCTTCCTAGTCCTGTCTCCTATTGATGAACCCAGACCCTGGACCCTGAGTTAAGGCTTGGCCTGTGATTTTCTATAGGGACACAAGAGTTCAGATGGACCCCTTTGGACAGTGAGCAACAAGGGGGTGCTGCATGGGCTTGGGAGCCCAGGAGTTGGTTAGGGAAGGGGCACCAGGGCCCTGTGGGAGGCCCCTTCCTAACTAGACACGTTACCGGTTACCCTGGGGAAGGCCTGGGATACATCTAGTGAGGATGCAAACCCAGGTTCCTGCAAGGAGCCAGGCAATAAATAAGGGAGGCGGGCTGAGCAAAGGGTGGTGGCTCTTCGAGAGAATGCTATTTTAGTCATTAAAATTTTAAATATAAAAAAAGGCGTGCAAATGTTAATCAGAAAGTGGTTGCCTGGGAGGGAGTGAGGGGCAGTGGAGTTGATAGGAGCAGCATGGGAGGACTTCTGGGGTAAGGGAAATGTTTTGCATCTTGCTTTGGGTGGTGGTTAGTGTACATTTATCAGATACACTTTATCAAATAAATACTTAAGATCTAAGCATTTTATCATGTCATAATTGTACCTCAATTTTTCACTTGGGCAAGTTAAAGTCTGTGTATAAACTGACTGGGCTCTCAGATTACGCATTTGCAAACTGTTTGACACATGAGGAATCATACAGCCTGAGAGGGGAAGCGGTTTTCCCAGGGGCGCCCGTGAGTCCTGACCGCCCCGAGGCGGCCTGCGGCTGCTCTGCCTGGGAAGACAGTCGCGCGGTCTGGCTGGCAGCCTCATCCTGCGCCAACTCACTTTACCGTTGGAGCGGTGCGGGCAGACAGCGGTGCGAACACAGCCTTCCCGTGGGCGGGGCCCCGGGGGCCAAGACAGACCGCTCTGCCACGGCCGAAAGTGGGACGGTCACCTAGAACTGCTGGGAGCAGCGGAACTGGATGGAGCGCCGGCCTTGGGAGCACGGCCAGGCGCGCAGATAAATCACAGCCGCCCACTGCGCAGGCAGTTCGGGCTTGGCGCTGAGAGCCAAATGCCGAAGCAGACAGACAAGCTCCGGGAAAGGAAATCTGATTCCCGAGAGGCGGAGGCGGTGCAAAGTGAAACCCACCTGAGGAGGCGGGGAGGGCAGGCAGCGGCCTCCGGCCGGGATGGAGCCCCCTCTGGGACAGGCGCTGCGGACACTTAACTTTGATCTTACTTGGCCGCCGCCCTGCCTGGAGAGAGGTACAGGGACCTATGCTCTTCAGGTGAGAAAACCAAGGCTCACCTTAGCTTCGTGGTGCTACGCAAGGGCTGAGTTGGGATTCCAAGCCCGGATGTCTGACCCCAAACCCTAGCTCCTTACCCTTCCCCGCCCAGAGGCGAGCAGGGATCTGCAGGGGTGACTCCAAGCCTGTTCATTACAAAGCAGACGTGGTTCCCAGTTTCGATGTAAGCGCTGCGCTTAAGGAGCCCGGGGAAGAGATCACAGAGAGCGGTGGACGTGGGGAAGCGCAGAGGCCGCAGCCCGGGCCCAGCGACCCGCCGGGACCTTCCGGACTCGCGGAGCGGCCTTCCAGTCGCCGCCAGCACTGATTGGCGCTCGCAGCCGGCCCCCAGCTGGCTCACCTGCCCCGCCCAGCCAATCCCGGCCACCAGAATTGGGGCCGACGCGGGAAGGCGGCGTGGCGCGGGGGATGCTGCTGGAGGAGGCTGAGCCGCCCTCCTCGCCGAGTTCCTGCCGGGCCGGCCCCAATCCCGAGCCCCAGCCGTAGGCTACGCGCGCCCCGGGCCCCCTGGGCGCCGCGCTCTCTCGCGCGCTTAATGCAGCAGCTCCGGAGTCCGCCGCTCCGCGTCGCCTCTGGCTGGGACGCGCCCCGACGGCGCCCGGAGCGGCCTGCAGACACCTTCTCCCGCCCGGAACCTAGCGTCCCTGTAGTCCCCGGGAGTGGGTGGGCCGGGCCGGGCCGGACAGCCCCACTAAGGCAGGATGTTCATGTCCAAGTCCAACTCGGTGTCGCCCTCGCCGTCCTTGGAGCAGGCCGACTCGGACGCGCTGGACATCAGCACCAAAGTGCAGCTCTACGGCGTGCTGTGGAAGCGGCCCTTCGGGCGGCCGTCCGCCAAGTGGTCCCGGCGGTGAGTGCGCTTCCCGCGCCCCCTGAGGACTACCTGGGGAGGGAGACCAAGGCCTGTGGACCCCTTCGTATCCCCTTCACTACCATCCTGCCTCTGCCTCCCTTTGTGACCTTGGCCTCCCCTGCGAAGTGTGGATCCCAGTCTGGGCTGGGTTCGTCTCTGCCAGAGAGCTGGTGGAGCAGGGATGGGACTATAGGCCTGGGGCGGGGGTCAGTTCTCTGTGGAATGGATCTAAGCGGGGGTGGGGAGAATAGATGTTGGCTGAAGAGATCGTGGCCGTGGTAGGAGCCCAGCTGGGTCAGGTTGGGCGAGACTCTGCTTCATAAGGGGGAGCTCCATCTGCAGCCAAGATAGCCTCCTGGGACCCCCCACTGCCAATTCCGTTAGGTTCATGACACCCCTCCGCCAGGCCACAGGGTGGGCGGATAGGTGTGCCAGGGGTGTCCTGCCCCCACGGATGCACACTCTGGGATTTCCTAAAAGACTCGGTCCAGGGGAGGGAGGAAGGGCCAGAAAGGGTCTGTGCCCAGCCCTGGAAGAGCTGATGTTGGCAACCCTTCCAACCAGCCCTTGCAGTAATTAAAAACAAACAAACAAAAACCACCACCACCAACAACAAAACACCCTGGGCAGAGAGAAAGATTCCAGTGCTTCAGGCAAAGAAACTGGGACAGAGCGGAGGGACTAAGCTGAGGTGGAAATGGAGCAGAAACTGAGGGGAGTGGGGCTGGGGGTGGATTGGCCCTGCCAAAAGAACTGATCCCTCCGAAGGTGTGGGGGGTGGGGAGGGTCAGAGCAGCCATAGCTTCCTGGTCCCCAACCCAGAGGCAACGCCCTAGACATCAGTAGCTGCTTTCCACTTACCAATGGGTCTGAAAGGTATTGGAGGAAGGGGAGCCCCAACCCTGGTTTCAGGAGCAATGGACTATCTTCTGCACGGTTTCCACCTTCAAGCCAATCTCAGTTCTGAGATTCGACACTGGAATGGCTTATAGAACCCGACCCTGACCCAGCTTCCTGGAGGTGCGACCCTGCCAGGAAACTGGGAGTGTGTCCAGACGCCCCTTCCCATCCCACACGGCGAGTCTGCCTCTCATTAGGGGGCCTCAGATGTCTCCAGGACCACAGATCACAGGGATGTAGTTCATAGTGGTTGGTTCTAATGTTCTGTTTTCATGAATAAGTTAGTATTTCTACAAAATCACGGAACAAACGGAACTGTGAATGGTGTTTCACACATTATGTGGCTGGTTTCACTTACACACTTTTATTAGTCTTGCCAGGTTTCTCTCTGGGACTTAATGGGATATTGGCTCCTGGAGTTCCTCCAAAGTTAAGCTTATCTTTGATCCCCTAAATGGAGGCCTGGGGCAGCATGGGGCACATCTTGTGAGGGGCGTCCAGCGATGTGCTGCTGACTGAGCTGTGGCCCCCGAGGGCCGGGGAACAGCCTTGTCTCTATGGGGCCCTCCAGTGCTTGTGTGTTCCCATACCACTAGCAGTGTGCCCCGCCTTTCTCTCTGCTGCCTCTGTTGCTCTAGGCAGCCAACGCCCCTCCACTGGACCTGGCCGCTTGTACTTGGTATTGCTTCTGGGCCTGGTCATCCAAGACTTCTGCTGCCAGGCATTTTCACCTGATTGCATCCCTTGTAAATGCTAAGAACCTGTGACCAGCACCCCTCCCCCCAGAGTATGTCTCTGACTCCTCTTCATCCACAGTTGTGGGGACCTGGCTCCTGCACCCAGAGCTGGGAGGTGTCAGGGACAAAGGCTCCCAGCTAAAGACACGATAATGGAGCCAGGGAGGGCGTGGAGAATTGTAGCACCGCCCACACCCCAAGAATTTACTTCCGTAGCCCCACAGCCACTCAAAAAAACACCCAGTCTCAGAATTCTAGAGCCGCCACTGTGCAAAGGCTCCGCCTCCTCTGGGCCTCGGGAACAAACTGACATCCTATCTGCCCACTCGGGCCTGTGTCCGTGTTCACGGTTGTAGAAATACACCTCCACACACACACACACACACACACACACACACACACACATACACACACACACTCTCGGTGTATTAGCCTTGGGTCAGCAACAGAGCCAGCCAGCGTCTGGGGGTGGGAGAAGCGTGATGCTGAGCGGAGGCCTCTCTCACTTCCCAGCAGAGCCCCTGGGCACCAGTTCCCCATTTGTGGAGTGGAGTCTCTGGACCTCAGCTCATTAGCAGCCACAGGAAGGCTTGGGGAGTGGGCAGCTCAGGCCCCACCCACAGAGCCATGCCATTAGGGCGATCGATGCCCTTACTGGGCAGCCGCGGGGAGGGGTCCTGGAAAGGCTCCTGTGCTGCATAAATAAGGAATGGGCAGGATGGAGCCAGCTGTGACCAGCTGGCTTTCATAAAGCCTCTTCCGCTTGGGGTCCATCTCAGGGCCTCCAACCCCTACCGCCCAAGCAGCCTGTCCCTTCCTGGTCTGGGAAGGTGCCCTTGAACTAAAGGCTCAGCTTTTTTTTTTTTCCTTTCCCCCATGGGGAACAAAAGGAGAAAGGGATAAAAAACATCACTTCGCAGAGATAAGAGAACCAGGGAGAGGTGTTTGGAGAGTAAGGTCGATGGCTTTTCTCCCCTTAGTCTGTAAGCAGTGGAGGCACAGGTGCTGTTGGCAAAAACCTGGGCCCCTCAGAATGGAGGCGGGAAGGGGGTGGGGCGTCTCAGCCCCGGCCAGTGTCAACCCTGTGGGGGGGCTGGGCTGGCACACGGCTGAACTCTTCCCTGGGATCAGAATACTGTCTCCAGAATTCTGGTTCCTCTCTCTAAGCTCTTCTGCACAACTTCAAGGCTGGAGCCCCGATGGGGAGGGCCCAGCCAAGTCCCTCCTGCAGCAGGGGAGCTACACTCCCTCTTGTGCCTCCTTCCCCCCTGGTGTAAGGGGCCAGTGAGTCCCTGCCTCAGGGAGCTGATTCACAGAATCCACTAAGTGCCCCGGGGACCCGTGGAGCCGGTAGCCCCAACCCCCACACACCCATTCTGTTCCTGGAATACATCTGTCTCCCCTTTCTGCTTCCTCACAGATTCCTAAGATACTCCTTCCTATTCACTCTTCAAAACCCTCCTCTCAGAGATCTCCCCTGGCCAGACACCTTAACCATTCATTCCTCCCTGGTCTGCACTCTTCCTGTATCTCATACAAACTTACAGTGTCCCCGTGTACCCTGGTGCTTCATGGTGTCCCCGTGTACCCTGGTGCTTCACAGTGTCCCCTGGTGCTTCAAGGTGTCCCTGTGTACCCTGGTGCTTCGCAGTGTCCCCGTGTCCCCTGGTGCTTCGCAGTGTCCCTGTGTACCCTGGTGCTTCGCAGTGTCCCCGTGTACCCTGGTGCTTCACAGTGTCCCCTGGTGCTTCAAGGTGTCCCTGTGTCCCCTGGTGCTTCACGGTGTCCCCGTGTACCCTGGTGCTTCACGGTGTCCCTGTGTACCCTGGTGCTTCGCAGTGTCCCCGTGTCCCCTGGTGCTTCAAGGTGTCCCTGTGTACCCTGGTGCTTCACAGTGTCCCCTGGTGCTTCAAGGTGTCCCAGTGTCCCCTGGTGCTTCAAGGTGTCCCCGTGTACCCTGGTGCTTCATGGTGTACCCGTGTACCCCGGTGCTTCACAGTGTTGCAGTAAACATTTTAATTGTCCCAGCTCCCACTTACCAGCTGTGTGATCTGGGGCCTATTACTTAAGTTCTCTGTACTGGTTACCTCACCTAGCTCATGTGAGGAATGAATGAGTTAGCACACATAATGATGTTTCTAGAATAGAGCCTGGCACAAAGGAAGAGCTCCAGAAACATTAGTTACTTTTTAAATTATTGATTTGTACTTGCTTTCCCTCATTTGACTATAAGGTCCTTGAGGGGCAGGAAATCATTAAGCCCCAGGGCTCAGCATAGTAACTGGCTGTACCAGGTGGCTCCTTAAAGCTCTCTGACCTGAGCCGGCCCGTAGCTCGTAGACAGGGCAGTGCCACAGGGCGAGGAGGACCAGGCATCGCAGAGCACCGCAGTGGAGAACGTGGACCTTGTCAGCAATGTTGGGTTCCAAGTTTGCCACTTACTAGTCACTTAATCCCTGTGCCTCAGTTTCCTCTCCTGTAGAATAGAAAAACAGGTATCTCCACCTTCGGAGTTATTGTGAGATATGTACATAAGGTAATGTCACTAAAACAGTGGGCAGATAGGATGTCCTGGCCCCTCATAAGTGTTCCTTAATCTAGAGGTGAAAACACTGTTGTGTATAGTGGAGAGGGGGGAGGGGAGGCAGCCAAGACTGACACGACCCCTTACCTCGCACGTGCTCCCCAGCCTTTGCCTTGCCCAGTGGGGTGGGCAAGGAGGGTCTTGAGGGCTGGGCTGAGGACCAGGCTTTGCAGGGATGGAACTGGGCCTGGATGGAAGGAGGGGCTCCAGACAAGAGGGAGGGAAAGTGCCGTGTGCCTGGGGGACAGGGAGGCCGCCAGCTGGGCAGCGGCCAGCAGCGCCCACTGGTAGGAGCCATGGAAACACAAATGAGAAAGGTCAAGGGAGGTCGCAGCGGATACTGAGCCCAATAATAATAGTACTACTAAAACCAAGTATTTATTGAATTATTTGTCATGTGTCACACAGTGTTCTAAATCTTTGTGTGAACAAACTCATTTAATCATCTGGACAACACTAAGAGATGTAGGTACTATTATTACCCTCAAGTTACACCGAGGGACCCGAGGCTTGCAGGGATGAAGTGACTTGCCCTGGTCACGTTGCTGGTGAGGGGCAGAGCTCTGACCCTCAGTGACCTCCGTCTTGATACCTACAGCCTCTGGTCCATCTGCTTCCCACCCAGGTTCCAGCACAAGAGAGGAAGCAGCCCCTTAGGCAGTGTCATGTGGGAAGGAGGAGCTGGGACTGTTGTCCCTGGGTTGCAATCCCAGCTCCACATCTGCCCTATGTGACCTTGTACAATCTACTTCACCTCTAAGCCTCAGTTTTGTCATCTGTACAATGGGATCAAAGAGCCCTACCTTGCAAGAGAGTTACATAGATAACATATTCTGCTACTTATACAGCACTTAGCACGCCAGCTTGCCCATGAGACCACCCAGCCCTTGTGTAGCCAGCCCAGCTCTGCAGGGCCCAGAAAGGAGGAGGTGGTCATTTGCTGAATCAGTGAATGAATGTCCACAGCAACCCCAAGGGACAGATACTCGCACCCCCATTTTATAGAGGAACTTGGAAGGGAAGGCTCAGCCAGTCTGGGAGCTTGCCTGAGGCGGCAGCTGGAGGGATGGAGGTCACTGGACTCCACAGCCCCTCTTCTCCCTGCCCACCTGCCTAGTGGGCATCTGCCTGCCACACCCCACCCCCAAGCCCCGGGCACAGTGCTTTGCCCTGGGAGGGGAAAAGGCTCCAGAAGTGTCAGGAAAGCAAGAAGGTATTTGTCTTGGTCAGCTCAGCCTCCCATAACAAAATACCATAGATGGTAACCATCTGTTAAACCGTTCAGTCAAACAACAGAAGTTCATTTGCTCACTGTTCTGGAGGCCGGAAGTCCCAGGTCAGGGTGCCAGCATGGTCGGCAGCTGGAAAGGATCCGCTTCCTGGCTCTCAGGCCCTCCCCTTCCCACTGTCCCTCTGTGTCCAAGGGAGAGGGAACACCCCCTTTTTGCAGAAGGCCAGAGTGCCATTAGGTTGCGGCCCCCCTGTTGGGCCTCATCTATCCTTATCATGGTAGGGCCTGGAATAAAGTCGTTTTGTTCAATGTCACTATGTTATAATGTTGATGAGAGGCCACAGGTACTTAACTCATATACATAAATTAGCCTATGGTAAAATTAATTTTGTTATAAGTCAATTTGTTTGAAGTCGCAGAACCTGTTGACAGCATTGAGGGAGGACCTACTGTGCCTCTTACAGACCCCATCTCTGGAGACGGTCAGGTTGGGAGTGAGGGCTCCGCGTATCAGTTGTGTGCGGGGGCATAGTTCAGTCCAGAACGGAAGGTCGGAAACCACTGGAGGGGAGGAGCAGGGCCCCAGGGCCGCCTGAGCTGCCCGGCTCGTGCTTTCCTGCGGGTGGGGAATGCACGGCTCCGGCCGGGCTGGCAGAGCGAAAAGCACACGCTCCTCCCATCCTCAGGACGATCGGCTGAGGTGGGTGTTATCGCCCCCCATTCTGCAGGCGAATGAACTGAGCTCAGAGTGAGCTCACTTGTCCAAGGCCCCCATGTAAGAGATGGCAGGTCTCTGGGATGCAAAGCCTGTGTTCCTAATGACTCTCTGAGGTTCTTTGAAATAGGCAGGGATGTCTCCCTCAGCTCACAGGATGGAGTGGACATGGCTGTCCTCCAGGACCCCGATGTCATCCTTGGGACAGGATGGGCACACGGGGTGTGGCCATGGCTCTAAGTGCCAGTGCCCAGCCCAGTCAGCAGGTGCAGAAGGAGCTCAGACAGCATCATGGGCTGGTCTGGCCCTCAGGGCTGAGAAGGGTTCTGCCAGGTTGGGGGTGAGAGCAGGACGTTCCAGGGAGTGTTGCCTGGTCTCTGCAGGATCCCGTAGGATGTAGTGAGGGGTGAAGCAGTGAGCTCAGTGTTCACCTGAGCAGAGAGGCTGAAGGGCAGAAGTGGGGGGAAAGCTGAGAAGGTGGGTGGGGGTCAGGTGCTGGAGGGCCCAGAATGTCCTCACCATCCTGCCGAGGGTGGTGTCCCTGTGCTCTTTCCCCGCTGTGGGCAGAAAGGCCTGGGGAGAGCTGGTTTTAGCAGGATGTCACCTCTGAGGTCCATAGTGGCATTTGGTGTCTGGCTGGGCAGAGAGGGTCAGTGTAAATGGAGAACGTGGGTGGGCGTGAGACACACACCAAAAGACAAAGTGTGCGTTGCTTTCCTGGGGGAGGCAAGATGGCAGTTGTCAGCAGTCCCAGGGACCATCCGTGCAGCAGCTGTGGCCTCAGAAAAGTTCAGGGGGCTGGGGGAACCCTCAGAGATTCGCTGACTTAGTACTGCTGACCAGCAGCTTTTCAAGCCCTGCCACGAGGGGCGTGCTGGTCAGTGGTTAACAGTGGGGTCTCAGGGTGGCATGGAGGGGGAACAGTGTTTTGTGGCATCTGATGATGCTCATGGCTGTAAACACTCCACTGTGACTGATAGCAAGCTACCAACACAATATCACCAACTCAGAGCAGAGGAGACTCACCCCGTGGCTATTGGGAGCCCATCGGAGCCGGCTCCAGCTCCCTGCAGCTCCCAGCACTCCCAGGCCCTTCGCTCAGCAGTGGCAGTAGCAGGGGCCCCAGGAGGAAGGGACACCCAGCTCAAGGGGGTCATCTTATCCTCGTCAATGCCGACCATGAATCCTGAGGTGGTCCCCAGGGGGTCCCCCGTGCTCCACGTCTGGGCATTGAGGCTGTTGTCTCCCCAACAGTCAGAAAGCACCAGGGGCCTAGAAGTCCTAGGTTCGACCTGAGTCTCAGAAGGAGGCTGTGGAGCAGGCTGAGGGCAGAGGGGGTGCAGACGCCACACGCAGGCTGCACGCCTGGCCCCACGGGCCTGGTTCCCATGTTTCGTTTGACCGACAGCCTTCCTGATCACTTGTCAGAGGACTCATCTGGGAACCTTGTGTCTCCTTCCTTCCCGCCCCTTCCGGGGAAGACCCTAAGGCACTGGAGACAATGGCCCAAGGGGCCGAGGATATCCAGGAGGATGTAGCGCAGATGTCCCCCTGTGCCAGGGGTGGCGACTCAAGAGGGATGGAGGAGCCAGCCCTGGGGGCTACTGCGGGCCTCCCACCTCAGCTGCCCACCAGTGCGAGGGTCAGGCTGCCTGGGGCGGTGGGCAGCTGGCCAGCTGAGGCCTTTGCTCAGAGGTGGAATGTGGGTTGGTGAGGATGAGTTGGTGTCCCCACGGGCTTCCCATGTGAGTGCAGGGCCCCCAAGGAACCTCACCCTTCTCTCCTTGTTGTCCCTCTCTGTCCACCTCCTGCTATAGGTTTTTCATCATCAAAGAGAGCTTTCTTCTTTACTACTCGGAAAGTGAAAAAAAGAGCTTTGAAACCAATAAATACTTCAATATACATCCGAAGGTGAGGGGGCCCCTCCCCAGGGCCACGTTGGGGGAGGGTATTCTGTTAGGGTAGGAGGCTGTGTCTTCTGATCTGAAAGAGTCTGGAGCACAAACCCTTCCTAGCGCACAAAGTCCCTGCCCCCTCTGGGCTGGGCCCCCAGCCTCCTGTGCCCTGGAGCCCTGGAGCCCCGGGGCCCCGCCTCTCCCTCCTGGGAGAGCTGTGGTCCAGCTCTCAGCCTGGGGCCCCCAGCATCGCTGGGCTTTGGCTGAGGGCTCCCACGGGCCTTGAGTGACCTGGTCTGGGCGGGGTGAGAGCCTCCTGTTCTGGTTCTTCCTCAGGGCGTCATCCCTCTGGGCGGCTGCCTGGTGGAGGCCAGGGAAGAGCCCAGCATGCCCTACGCCATGAGAATCTCCCACCAGGACTTTCATGTGAGTAAAGCTGTTGTCTCAGCCTGGGTTTGGCAGGGGCAGAGCAACTTCTCTGGGACCCCCGGGCCCCTAGGGCAACCCCTTTCAGTGGCGGGGGTGGGGGCGACGGGTGTCACTGCATAAGGATGTGAGCCGGGAGAGCAGGGCTGGGCCTGTGGAGGCCTGGGGCGGCCTCCATGTCCTCTGAACGGCCTTCTCTCAGGTGCACCGTGGCCCCTCTTCCTGGCAGGGGAACATCTTGCTGGCGGCAGAGTCTGAGTTTGAGCAGACGCAGTGGCTGGAGATGCTGCAGGAGTCAGGGAAGGTGTAAGTGCTCCCAGCAGGGGTGGGGGCAGCCTGAGGGGGTGGGGGGAGGGGTGCGGGCTGGGCTGACCCTGATCTCCCTGTCCCTTTGTGGGATCCCGGGGGCACTGAGGGTGCAGGGAGAGGTCAGGGTGGGACGAGAATGTCTGGGCCTCTTTGAGGACCTGGCTGTGGGAGTTGGTTAGGTTGGGCGAGAGGAGATAGAGGCCAGGCTTAGAGCATCTGGGAGAGGTCTCCTAAGTGAGCTTGATCAGGCACAGCGAGCTTTGCTTGTCTAAAGTCACAGGTGGCAGGCACGGACACCATTTGTCTCCAGCCCTCAGAGTGAATCCAGCCCCACTGGTAGGACCGGGCTACCTCCCCGGCCCCATCCCATCTCCCCAGGCCACACCATTAATCCTGGTGTAGGCAGAGCTTTGTAAGTCAGGGCCCATCACAGAAACCTCCAGCCCAACACAGTTCATTTGCCCATAAACCCTTGTCCTGGCACCTGCCTACTCAAGCTGGGTCGTGCTTTTAGTTCAAATAACCCTGAGTGCACGCTTGTGCCAGGCCATGTGCCACATGGGAAGCATTCAGTGCTGTAGAGAGCAAGCAGGAAGCGATCTCCTCTTTGCTCCAAAAGTGCTGTCGGCCCAGCCCACATGGCCCACTTTGCAGCCTGGGCCAGCCTCCAGGGCCGTAACCGATCAAGGCCGGTGGCATGCCCAGAGCCCGGGGTGCCAGGGTGAATGCGAGCTGGGATTCTGGAGAGAAGGGACAGGCACGTACAAAACACTCACATTCTCTTTCTTCCGTACCCTTCTGTTTTCACGATTCTGTATTTCTTCCTATCCTGTCCCATCTGCCCTCCCTCCCCAGGACCTGGAAGAATGCCCAGCTGGGAGAAGCCATGATCAAAAGCCTGGAGGCTCAGGGGCTGCAGTTGGCCAAGGAGAAGCAGGAGTATTTAGGTGGGCTGGAGGGGCAGGCTGGGAGCTGAGATTCCCTGGTGGTAGCCCTGGTGGGCCAGAGGCTTGCTGGAGGACCAAGGTTGGTGTCCTGGGCAGGACTTAGCAGGCTATGGGGAGCCAGACACCAGCTGGGAGCCTGGAGGGCTTTCTAATAAGCATCCTGTTGACCGTCGTGACAGGAGGCAGGAGAGCCTGCTGGTTAGGAGCCTGGGCTCTGGACTCAGTTTTGTCCCTTATCTGTCAGCTGTGTATGTCTTTAGGCAGCACAGCCTCTCTAAGCTTCAGTTTCCTTAAACTGGGGACAGGAATAGCCCTGAGCTGTTGGAGGTGGCGTGGGGATGGAGTTACGTGAGAAAACGCCTGTGAGCCCTTGCATCAAGCATGAAGTAAGGGGTCCAAAAATGGAGTTGATGTTGTTCTGTTGTTCGCCTGCCCTGGGCCCCCAGGTCCTGGCTTGCCTCTGGCTGTCACACCACAGCCCGCTTTAAACCTGACCTCAAGGTTCCAGGCCCTGGTGCCCCTCACTGGCTGGTTAACATGCTGTTTTGGAAAGAAGCTGAGTCTGGAGTTTGGTCCTTTGCCTGGGACCCTCTTCCCTGTACCCCCTTAGATACCCAGGGCTCCCCTCTGCCTGCTCGAGGCACCACTCTCTGCCCAGGATGGCCCTTCGGCACCAGCCAGACACTCGTGCAGCCCCTGGCGCTGCAGAGACTCACTTGCACTCCGGAGGATAAGACCATCCCTGACTTGTGCATGCACAAAGCAGGGACAGTGACTGGAAAGGAGGGTAGCAGCTCCCATCACCAGGCGCTGGTCCCACCCTCTGGCTGGCCTGGTGCGGCCGTGCTGACCTCTTCCCCTTAGGAGAAGCTGAGGGTGACAGAGGTGACCGAGGCACCAACCCCTTGCGACCGGATCTAGAGTGAGTTTTTCATGGAGTGTGTGTGTGCTCGCTTTGGCAGACAAGCTGATGGAAGAGACTGAAGAACTCTGCCTGCAGAGGGAGCAGAGAGAGGTAGGTGCCCACGGAGGCTGCTCAAAATCGCCACCCTTCCCCATGCCCACCCCCTACCCCCACTCTGGGGGCCCTGGACAGCCTAGGCGTACGGCTTGGTTTCTGGCACGAGAGAAGGATGTGGGGGAGCGGAACACCCAGAGAACCAGCTGGAAAGTCAGGCTGGTGGAGCAGGAGGGCCAGTGAGATGACAGTGCTTGAGATTTGCAGTAGCTTCTTGGCAAGAAGTGTATTTCCTCTGGCCAGCCCCAGGGAGCAAAGTATAAAGGGTAGGTGGCCACCTTCTAGAGAATGAACCATCCCAGCGTTAACTGTGTTGGTGGGTAATAAGCTGCTTGCCGCTGGTGATATTCACAGGAGGCTGGGATGGCCTGAATGATTTATAGAGGGGTTTCTGGCACCTGTAGGGTGAGGGAGTTGGTTTATCTTCCAGGTCCCTTCTGTAAATGTCGATAGTACAAGTCGCAGGGGGGCCGAGCATTGGCGGTGGGGAGTCACTGAAGTCCACTTTCTTTGGACTGTCCACGCAGCGCTGGGCCTTGCCTGTTCTGTCATGGCATCCCCCAGGTGGCAGATGAGGGTGGTGGTTTGCAGTACAGCCCGGGAGCTGCACTGTGGTCGTGTGACCTCTCTGAACACCAACATTGTCACATGAACAATGGGGATAATAACTGAACCCGTCTAACTAGGGGTGTTGTGGGGATTAATGTTAAATGTAAAACGCTTGGCATGGAACACACGCTTAGTGGATATCTGTGTTTGTTAGTATCACAGTCAATGTCGTAACTAATTATGGGCCCATCTTGCACGTGACCCGCCTGAGGCCCAAAGCTGCAGAGTGGCTTGCCCAGTGAAGCCCACAGAGGGAGGCCACTGCCCTTTGCCTGGTTGCTCTTCCCTGTCCTCTCCCAGGTGAGGCCCAGGGCAGGGGCAGCAGCCTTGCCTCCTGCCTGCCTCCCGACCTGACGCGTGCTCACTGCTCACCCTTCCGAGCCACCACTTACTGGGCTAGGAAATAGGTCCTCGGGCCATGTCCCCGTGGCACCCCAGATGGTCGCAGGGCCCGGCACAGCCCCTGGCCCAGGTCTGGCACTTCGTACATGTTTGTGGAATGACTCTATGAATGGACTTTTTTTCAGTTGAAATATCTTTTAATTTTTCAGTTGTAGTTGATGGACAATAATATATTAGTTTCAGGTATACAACCCGGTGACTAGACATTATATAACTTACTAGGTGATCATCCCAATAAATCCTGTGCCCATCTGACACCGTACATACTTATTATAGTACTAAGTACATTCCCTGTGCTGTGCTTTACGTACCCAGACTGTCTGTAACTACCAATCTTCACTCCTTCATCCCTTCACCTTTTTCACCCACTCCCCGACTCCCTCCCCTGCCAAATCTGGCAGTTATTAAAATGTTCTCTGTATCTACAAGTCTGTTTGTGTTCTGCTTGCTCATTTATTTCATTTTTTAGATTCCACGTATAAGTGAATTCATCTGGCCCTTGTCTTCCTCTTCCTGACTCATCTCACGCAGCACAGCCCCTCTAGGTCCACCATGCTGTTGCAGGTGGCAAGAGTTCATCCTTTTTCGTGGCTGAGTCATAGTCTGTTGTGCGCATGCGCCACTTCTTTATCCGTTCATCTATTCGCGGACACTTAGGTGGCGTCCATATCTTGGCTACTGTAAAGAATACTACAGTGAACATATGGTTGTCTTTTTGATTTAGTGCCTTGGGTTGCTTTGGATAAATACCCAGAAATGGAATTGCTAGGTCCTCCTTCGTCTCTTTGTTTTAAAGTCTATTTTTGTCTGGTATAATTATTGCTACCCCCGATTTTTGTTTGTCTGTTTCCATTTGCAGGACGCATCTGTTTCTGTCCCTTTACTTTTAGCCTGTGCGTGTCTTTCGCTCGGAAGTGAGTCCCTTGTAGACAGTGGATATGAGGATATTGCTTTGTTATCCATTCGGCCTCCATGTGTCTTTTCACTGGGACATTTCATCCATTTGCATTTGAAGTAATTGTTGATAGATGTGTATTTGTTCCCATTTTTATTGTTGGTATTTTTAATCTTTTTTTCTTCTTGGATAAGACCCTTTAACAATGAATGGACATTTTTAAAAGAGATTTTATTTGTTTATTTTTAGAAAGAGGGAAAGGGAGGGAGAAAGAGGAGAGAAACATTAATGTGCGAGAGATACATCGATTGGTTACCTTTTGCACCCCCCAGCTGGGGACCTGGCCCACAACTCAGGCATGTGCCCCAACTGGGAATTGAACCAGTGACCTTTCAGTTTGCAGACTAGCACTCAATCCACTGAGCTGCACCAGTCAGGGTGGAATGCACTTCTGTTTTTTGAGCCAACGTTTTTATTTTATTTTATTTTTTAAAGTATATTTTATTGATTATGCCATTACAGTTGCCCCATTCCCCCCTTCATTCCCTTTGATCCTGCACACCCCTCCCCCACAATTCCCCCCCTTTATTTATGTCCATGTGTCACAAGTTCTTTAGATTCTATATTTCCCCTACTATTCTTGCCCTCCCCCCGTCTATTTTCTGCCTACCGTCTGTGCTACTTATTCTCTGTACCTTCTCCCCACTTCTTCTCCTCCCACTCCCCTGTTGCTAACCCTCTGTGTGATCTCCATTTCTATGGTTCTGCTCCTGATCTAGCTGTCTGCTTAGTTTGCTTTTGTTTTAGGTGTGGTTGTTAATAACTGTGAGTTTGCTGTCCTTTTACTATTCATATTTTTTATCTTCCTTTTTTTAGATAAGTCCCTTTAACATTTCATATAATAGGTAAGGGCTTGGTGATGATGAACTTCTTGAATTTGACCTTGTCTGAGAAGCACTTTATCTGCCCTTCCATTCTAAATGAAAGCTTTGCTGGACAGAGCAATCTTGGATGTAGGTCTTTGGATTTCATGACTTGGAATACTTCTTTCCAGCCCCTTCTTGCCTGCGAGGTCTCTTTTGAGAAATCCTCTGACAGTCTTATGGGCACTCCTTTGTAGATGACTGCCCCCTTATCTATTGCTGCTTCTAGGATTCTCTCCTTCATTTTACTCTTGGCTAATGTAATTATGACGTGCCTTGGTGTGTTCCTTCTTGGGTCCAACTTCACTGGGACTCTCTGATCTTCCTAGACTTCCTGGAAGTCTATTACCTTTGCCAGATTGAGGAAGTTCTCCTTTATTATTTGTTCAAATAAGTTTTCCACTGGTGGCTGTTCCTCTTCCCCTTCTGGTACCCCTATAATTCAGATGTTGGAACGTTTAAAGATGTCCTGGAGGTTCCTAAGCCTCTTCTCATTTCTTTGAATTCTTGTTTCTTCGTCGTTTTCTGTTTGGTCATTTTTTTTCCTCCTTCTGGTCCACTCCCTTGATTTTAGTTCCAGTTTCCTTCCCATCTCTATTCCTGTGCATTTCCCTTCATTTCACTTAGTGTAGCCTTCATTTTTTTAATCTAATTTGTGACTAAAATCAACTAGTTCTGTGCGCATCCTGATCACCAGTGTTTTGAACTGTGCATCTGATAGGTTGGCTATCTCTTGGTCGCTTAGAAGTATTGGCTCTGGGGCTTTGAACTGTTCTTCTTCTTGAGCATAATGTTTTGGTCTGTTTGTGCCTGTTATGTATGAGTTGAGGATCCTTAGATGTTCACCAGGGCGGGGCAACCCAGCTCACCGGGTTGTGACGCTGTATGTGGGGGCGGGGTCAGAGCCAATGGCGTTTGTTTCGCTCTCTCTTGGATTTCAGTCCCCTCTGCCATTTCCCACAAACAAACTAAGCCCTTCTGGTGCTGTTTCTTGGGTGTGTGGGCTTGTGCACCCTCCAGGTCCCTGAGGGTCTCTCCAACGAACTGTCTGTGAGCCTGGGATCCTCTCCCAGCACCTTGACCCCCAAAAGTTTTTCTAATTGGTGCTTTTAGGCTTTAATTCTCCTTGCTGGGGCCCTGGGTTGTGTGGTCTGTCTCACTGCTCGCTCCTTTGCCTGGTTTATCTGCACGTGAATGTGTGACCGGGGTCAGTCAGCAGCCTTGCACCCTCACTGGGTCTGCCCATTGCCACCCCACGCCTGGGATCTGCCAACTGCCACCTGTGTGCCTGGGTTGGTCAGGGTGCTTTTTCCTGAGTGACCCCGCTCCGCCAGCTGCTGACTCCACCCCTCTTACTGGTCTGAACAGTTAGTTGTTGTCAGACTTCGGTACAGTTCAATTTTCTGTCTGTTTTGGTTGTGTTATTATTACGAAATCTTTGTTGTCTTTAAACTTGGTTGTGCGAGGAGGTACAGTGTTTCCACCTTCGCCTCCATCTTGGCCAGAAGTTTGGAATGAACATTTTTGATTCTTATAATTTTGCATTACATCTTGACTTTAATTCAGTAGGACAATTTACCCTCATTTTTCTTCTTCCAAATTTTTATCAGATATTCTTGCTCATTTATTCTCCTGGCGGACTTCGGAATCATTTTTCCAGTTAACAATTTAAAAGTCTAAACCCAAACAGACAGAGCTCCCAAACCAAGCCTGTGGAGCGGTTTTGCGTTAGGACCGCGTGGGTCTGAGGACGGGCTTGGCGTCGGCAGCGTTCGAGCCCCTGTGTCTCCGGGTTCTCGTTCTAGCGTTTCGGTCAGTTTTTCTACAGTTCTGCACATTTTGAGAAGTGAGACTTCCAGTGCATTATCAGTGACTTAAAGACAGGTAACTCAGGAAGCCAGGGGGTGGGATGGAGTGACAGACAGCCACGGGCAGGAAGACAGACAGCCTTATCCATCAGAGAGGCTGAATCTGGGGCAGCAGTCCGCCGGAGGAAAATTTAGACACTCTATCTAGGTCTTTAGCCAGAAATGAGGACAGTGGAGACCCACCGCACACAGGCCTCACCGAAAGCCGTAGCACTCGGAAGGAGGGGTGCCTGTCAGCTTGAACTCCCTCTTTGAGGGGGGGTTGGTATAAAATGTGAGTGAGACTCACTGGGGCCCAGCTGGTTGCCGAGGTGAAGGCTGCCCTGGGCTGGCAGGAGGGAGGGGACTGTGCCCAGGCCCTCGGCCCGTGCCAGCTGCTCCAGATCAGGAATAGAACTCACTGAGTCATTCCGTCCAGGTTTTTCCTTACTCAACTTAATCATTCGTATAAGGGGTCTGCCTGTCCCCTGCACTTTAACCCTCCCCACTTCAGGTCATGGAGATTGTCTGGGTGTGCCTTGTGCAACTTAAAAGGGCATTTGGGACAATGGCCCAGTGATGAGATGGAGATTCTCTGGTCTCCAGAAGCTGCTGGGCCTAAAGGCAGACTCAGGGTCTGCGGTCAGGAGCCCCAGGTTGGCGTGTCAACTCTACTGCTGCCTGTGTGGCCTTGGACGAGTAAGCCTCCCGGACCTTCAGGTTCTCCACCTGTGCTGCTCCGATAAGAGTAATGGCTGTGCCCACCTAGCTCCCAGCTGCTGTGAGGCTTAGTGAAATAGAAAGCAGGGGAGCACTCAGTGGACTGGCAAGTTCCATGCAGACGTGTGCTGTGTGATGGTGCAGCCGTGACAGCCCCCGCGGGCAGACAGGGCCAGGACTCCGGGGCATGGGCAGAGAGTGCGGGGGCAGCCATCCTGGGCTCCTCTGCCCGAGGCCAGAAGACCATGTGCTTTTTCATTCCAGGTCCCTCTGGTGTCCCTGGCTCCCTGTGGCCTCATTTCCCTCACTCCCTGGAGGAGGGCAGCCTGCCATTATTTTCTTTTCTGGCCAAACTGTGAGGGCACAGCCTCGCGCATAGGCAGCCACATGGGAAATCAGAAATGCCCAGGGCCAGTCAGGCAGGGTTCTGGCCACCCAGGTGCTCCAGCTGGAACACGGACTCTTGGAGTCGGAAAGTACCTCCCACTTCAAAGTAGGGCTCTTTGCTGACCTTTCTGGTGGATGTTGATCCTGATTCTGTGATGTACAACTCACTCCCTCCAGAGGTTGCCTTTGCATTATTGCTGCATTATTTGAAAGTTCTTCCTTTCACTGAGCTGAAAATTGCCGTCTAGTGTCTCTTTTCCAACCTCATGCTCCTGCAACTTTAGTCAAGCCCACTAGTCAGGAGAACAATGCTGTGTGGGAAGAAAGGCTTTAGCTGAAGAGGTCTTGGTTGTCCTCAGTCTGTGGCAAGGTCACCGCAAACACTCGGACTATCCTGAGCTGCAGGAACAGGAGGTTCTGGCTGCTCCATGTTTATAGGTTGAGGGTTTCACTCTAATCAGCTGTACTTGGACATCAGCTTCATTTAAGAGCCATAGAGGGGAAGTGAAAGGTGCAAAAGAAGCGAGCAACCAGGAAGGAGATTGTCTTTCTTTTTCTTCTCTAATATGTAACCTTTTCCTAATGGTAGAAATCATGATCTTTGTAGAAAACTTGGAAAACAAGCTTATCCTTAATTGCAGTTGACAGTTGACAGCTATTGTCAACTTCTGTGTTTAATTTCAGTGTTTTTAAAAATGCGTTATTCTGTCCTGACTGGTGTGGCTCAGTGGATTGGGTGCTGGCCTACGAACTGAAAGGTCACCAGTTCAATTCCGTCAAGGCACATGCCTGGGTTGCGGGCCAGGGCCCCAGTTGGGGGTGTGCAAGAGGTGACTTGTATGTCAGTCCTGGTCTACTTTTCTAAATATTTCTGTAGAGAATCCTGTAGGTGAATTACTGACTTAAAGGGCAATAGGCTTCAAGACTCCTGATGCCTGTTGTCAACTTGCTTTTCAGAAAATTTGTACCTAATTTACACTCTTACCAGGAATGTATGGACATTTCCATGGCATTTTAATAATTTACTTTCTCCTATTTTCAATTACAAAAAGACATCCCAGTGTCGTGGTAAGTACAGAGAAACATTTGTAAGTTGGAGTTCTGGAGAAAGGGACTGTTCAGGGAGGAGACCCTGGGGCGTGGGTGGCATCCTCCGTCTGGGTCCGGGGCGATCTGTCCTGAAGCAGCAGAAGCCAGGTGCCTATGAGAGCCAAGCTGCCCGTGTGATTTTTCAAGTCCAAGCTCAGGGTTGCTTGTAGCCCGTAACTTCCCCAGCCGCCTGAACAGCCCTGCCAAGCAGGCAAAGGCCATCAGAGAGAGGAAATAAGTCGGTTTTTTTCATTGAAGTCCACAGGGAAGTTATCATCACTAGCAACACCAAGTGTCAGCTTTGGAGAATGTATTACAATCCAGGTTTTCAAACTTTTTGAAACTCAACTCTTCTGTCAGTTAAAAGGGGGAGGGTAGACAGGAATAACATTTGCATTTAGTTTCTATTCTGTCCATACATGGCTGTGTCTACTGCAGTAATGCGTAACTCCAACATGTTAGTAGCTCTGAACAGCAAACGTCCCTTTCTCACGTGGCGACATGGGTCAGCTGGGGGCTCAGCTCCACCTGACCTCTCAGGGATTCCGGCCAGTGAAGCCCCCGTCACGCGCAGCACCTGCCATGGCAGGGGCAAGGGAGCACAGGTGTCACGCCCTGCCTCTTGGAGGCCTCTGCCTGGAAGTGACACACTTCTGCTCACGTTCCATTGGCCTTAGCCTGTCCCCTGCATTGTGCCCGCAGGGGTATCAGAATGCCAGTGAGTGGCCCTCGTGGCGGCCACTAGTGAGCCACACCAAGTGTGCCAATAATGACCTGAAGGGAAAGGAAGAGCAACTTTAGAACAAAACAGAAGGAGCAACTTTGGGGGGTAAGAAGTTCGGGAAAGGAGGACGAGGGGTTTGGAATGGATCTCTTCCCTTTTTTTGTATTTTGTCTCCTCCAAGCCAATGGTGACTCCTCCCTCCAGGCAGCCCCACCTCTTGGTGGGGTTTCCATGAACCCTGAGAGCACAGCCCCCGGGTAAAAAGTGAGAATCTAATCTGGAACTAGGAGAAGAGAAAGAAAGTGGGTCTAGAAGTAGTATCCTTCCACAGTGTGAAATGCGGAGGGGCAAAGCAGTCATCACAAAAATGCTCCTAGCCGAGCTTCCCTGGATGTATACCCCCACCACCGCCTGCCCTGTTGAAACCCAGGACAGCAGGACCCCTGGAGGGCGCAGGCGAAGGGGCCCACACATTTGCCTGCAGTCCGGGGGGGGGGGGCCTGGCCCCCTGGGCCAGCTTGCTCTGCACTTTCTGGCTGCCCCGTTGCCTGGGGGCTCAGTGTAGGGGAAGCTGTCGCGCCTCCTCTCATTGCTTTGCAGATGCCTTGAGAAAAAAGAATTCTTATGCTCTGACTTTGGGGTTGAAAATGGCTTTTTTTTTTTTTTTGCCACTTCCAGTAAATGTTGCTCCAGGGATCTCTAATGGAAATGCACTTACCACTTTATCCTCCAGGGCTTGAGGGTCAGCCAGCGTGCTTTAGGCTGTGAGTGGTGTCCAGAATAATGGATCGCAGGAAGTGATGTTGGGATGGTTCCTGAGCCCTGCCTTCAGCTTGCTAAGTGTGTTTTAAGTGAGCCCAGGTCACCACAGATGTCAGTTTGGTGGACACTGTGTGTCACTGAGGGGACCAGGTGCCCGCAGGACTCAGTTTCAAGTTTGGTCCAGTGTGGGCCCCAGACCCTGCTGAATCCCGGAGGGCCCCTGGGTCACAGCGGAGGTTCCCTTTGTGCCCGTGACTCTCCTCTCCGTTCTCTTCAGGAGCTCGAGCGCCTTAACCAGGTGCTGGAGGCTGAGAAGCAGCAGTTCGAGGAGGTGGTGCAGGAGCTGAGAGTGGAGCAGGAGCAGATCAAGAGGTGGTGGTGGTGCCCTGGAGGGGACCGGGGGGAGGGTGCAGCTGGGCGAGGGCACCTACAAACCACGCCCAGGGGACCGTCACTACCTGATGACTTGGTTTGGTCTCTCTTCCCAATGCTCCAGGCCTTGGGGTGTGCCCAAGAAGAAGCTAAGACCCCAAACAGATGGGCCACCTCTGGCCACTGGGGCCGGGGCAGGGACAGACAGGCGTGCCCTAAGCAACACGCCCTCCTGCCTCCACCCAACCCTGCTCCCCCAGGGCAGACAGGACCAAGCTGGTCTGGAGGCTCCATTAGCCAAGATCCCCAACACCCCATCTTTCTTGCGCAGTCCCTTCATGTTCTGGCTAGTGATGTCCCTTGGGATCTTTAGTCCTGTGTGTGGCTTGCAAACCAGTGGCACATTATAATTACACAGAATTAGAATCTCCTACAGGTAGATCCCAGAAGTCTGTATTTTTAAAAAGCTCCCTTGATCATGCTGATGTAGCTTATCCAGGAATTTGGAGGCTCTCGCTCTGGGTGCTGTTGGTGGTGGTGGTGTGGTTATCAATGGTCAGCATCGTTGTCACCATCATCGTCACTATTGATCATCACTGATAGCCCAGAAAGATTTTTCTGCAACAGCCTTATAAAGTTAGTCATTAGATATATAACTGGGGGAGGGAGAAGCTCAGGAAATCTTACCAAATAAATAGCCCAAACACCCGCTCACATCCAGGATTATGCCAAACCCCGAATAGAAGACTCGTCCTTGTCCTGAGGATTTGGCTGGGAAGACCAGACTCACACCCAGGAAACCTCAACATGATAACATGTGACCGAGTGCTAGGAGGTGTGGGGCAAACTCCCTGTGCTATAGGAATTAAAATAGACGCACAATCCTCATGGGCTCAGAGATTGGACTGAGCTGGGCCTTGGAGATGGATTTGGAAAGTTGGCCCAGAGCAGGGAAAGGCACTCCAAGCAGGAGGAGGGGAAACCAGATGTGGAAGTGTGAGATGGCCCGGGCTTGTTGAGAAAGCAGCAAGGAAAAGAGAAAAACAAACAAACAAACAAAACAGCAAGGAGTTTGTCATTGCAGAGAAAGGTCTCGGCTGTGTCCCATGTCCGAGTGAGTGTGGGTTCTAGCAAGGACTGTCCAGGGAAGATGGGGTGAGACCAGGACCCCTGTGGTCCCCCAGCACTTCTCTGCCTGTGGGGTGGCCCTAGGTTTCTCCCCACTGACAAGTGCGTGACTTCAGCTTTACTCAGCTGGGACCTCCTTTAGCCCGAGGTCCCTGACCAGCCATGCAGAGGGGCTGGCCTTCCAAGGACCCCACCGACCTGTACTGGGAGGCGAAACAAGCTATCCTGGTATGAAGGGAACTGGGAAGGGTGGGCACTGCCTTATCCATGCCCTCTGTCCCTGCAGGGAGCTAGAACTGACTGCAAGATGCCTCAAGGGGGTGGAGCAAGAGAAGAAGGAGCTGAGGCACCTCACAGAGTCCTTGCAGCAGACGCTGGAGGTGAGGGCCCACTGGTGGGGCTGGCTGACCAGGGGGCTGGCTGCTTGGCTGGGCCACATGGTACTGTCTTTTTTCCAACAGTATTTCTCCAGTTACTGAGCCATCTGCAAAGCTAAACAGGGCACAAAGTGGTGCTGATCTAAGGGTCTCCTCTCTGTGGACCACTGGGAATTTCAGCCGACTTATGAGGCCCATAGCAGGACTCAGAAGGGCAAATTCAAGTTTGCCCTTGCTATGACCGTAGCCTCAGGAAATCCACCTTCTTCAGTGCTTATATTTTTACACCAGATGGAGGATCGATTAGGGTGGGTAGCAGGGCCTCTCACCACTTCCTTCTTGTGGCTCATTCACTTAGCTACTCCAGGGCAAAATTGAGCACAAAGGGAAATCAACTCTCGGGTCACCTCCATGTGATACCACAGAAACTGGGAAGGGGATGATAAGGCACGTGGCAAGGACAAAGTGCCAACTCTGCAGCATGGCACGCAAGGGCAAACTCTGGCGCCAGCCTCTCTTCTCCTGTTGCCCTCTGCTGCCCTTCCACACCCTGAACAAAGACACCCCATCCCCTACTCCAAACCACTGAGCTCACATGCCCTGAGGAAGCCAAGCTCTCTCATCCTCCACACCTTTGCTTGGCCTGTCCCTTCTACTCCGAATGTCTTTCACCTCTCTTCTGCCTTGAGAACTCTGTCATCCTTCTAAGGCTTAGCTTAGATGTTACTGTGGTCAAGCTTCCCTGACTTTTCACAGCAGAAATTTGGCCTGCACTCTGGGCTCCCCTGGCATTTTGTACATCTGTTATGGCACTTAACACACCACTAGGTTGTGTTTTCCAAACTGTGAACTTCACTAGGCTGAGTCCTAAGGTTTTTCCAAGCTCAGCACTTAAAGTGAGCTTGGCGTGTCCTGGAGAGCGTAGTGTTTATTGCGTTCATGAACTGCCTGGCAGAGCGCAAGGGATTCTGTTCTTGCTTGACTGACTGGGGCTTTGTTTGTGGTGCCTTTACTTGTTTATCTTTTTCCAGTTCACATCGTGGGAGGGGTTTCCATGGATATTTCAGCCCCAGAATTCCTGTGTAGTGCAAGATCCCAGTCTGATAAGCGGGGACAACACAAACTGTCTCCAGTCTGGTCCTGTTGGGGTTTATCACGTGACCCCAACACACTTGCCCCTGGAGGGACAAGAACCCCAGAAGGTCATGGTGCCCTTGTGTCTTGGGCCCTGGCTGTAGTAGGTGCCGCCTCCCTGGGAAGCCTCACTGGGCTCCTCTTTGATTCCCTTGATGGAGGGGTAACCTTGCCTTGTTGTGAGCAAGATCTTGGTTGGCCTTTGAACTCAAGGGAAGAATGAAGATATGGCAGGTGGGCCTCACAGAGGGCATCCCAGTGGAGAGTCTCACTCCTGGAGTTGGGAGGCAGCTGAGGCAGCCACGGTGCAGAACCTAAATTAGGCTCTTTCTCTTCTCTCCCTCCCTCCATGCCAGGAGCTCTCCATAGAGAAGAAGAAGACCCTGCAAATGCTGGAGGAGAATGAGAACCAACTGCAGACGCTGGCCAGTCAGAGTGAGCAGCCCTCTCCCGATGAGGGTCTCCATAGCAACCTGAGGCAGATCGAGGAGAAGATGCAGCAGCTCCTGGAGGAGAAGCTCCTGGCAGAGAAGCGGTGAGGAGCCCGGGGCCCTCGAGGTCATGATTGACTTTGGTGAGCAGTACTTGTCCTTGAACTGGGCACCTGGACTTTTGGGTTCTAGTTGCCATTGCCCAGATAGGTCACTCGCTTTCTTTTGCCTGGGACTCAGTTTTCCCACCAGGCAAATGGAAATAGAACTTTCACTACCCAGAACCGACTGCATTGTTGTCTCTTGGGATGGTGCGTGCCATCCTGACAGTCACTAGGTCCGTCTAGCTCTGCTTTGTGGCCTGCTGGGAAGGCCCTCTTAGCCCCTTTTTAGCGAGGAGGAAACTGAGCCATGGAGGGGTTATAGCACTTTCCTAAGGTCACAGAACCAACGAGGCCTCAGTGCAGGACTCAGATCTTCTGACTCTAAGACTGTACTCCTCTCCTCAGCTGGGTGACAGGACCCCAAACGTTCAGGGGCTCCTGAAGCCTGGGTCTCAGGGCTTCTCTAGCCAGGCCTGCCTATGAGGGGCAAATTGCCCCTGGAAATCCTGGGTGAGGGCCTGACCGAGGGCCTTTTCCCCCCGGGCAGGATGAAGGAGAACGAGGAGCGCTCACGGGCCCTGGAGGAGGAGCGTGAATTCTATTCCAGCCAGTCCCAGGCGCTGCAGAACTCGCTGCAGGAGCTGACGGCACAGAAGCAGCAGGCTGAGCAGGAGCTCAAGGTGCCTTCTCTCACCTGGAGACTTCCCTCACAGCCCTGCACATCACCTGGCAGCTACCTGAATGCTCTCTGCTGACCTGAGCAGCCAGGGGCAGGCCACCCTGAGGAGAAGCAGCGGGCCTGCTGCTTCTGTGGGGCATCATTGCCCCATGTACAGCCGAGTCCAGGCCATCTGGTCAAGGGTTTAAGACACAAGGCCGGAGGTGGTAGCTTCCATCCACATGCAAAGACGAGAGAGCCCACTTTAACTGGGGGTGATCAGGGAAGGCTTCCAGGGCAGGTGGCAACTGCTGCCCAGGACCCCATATCTCTCTCCTTCCCTCTCCCTTCAGGCCGAGGTGAAGGTCCGTATGGACCTGGAGAGACGTCTGCGGGAGGCCGAGGCGGCCCTGAGGAGCCTGGAGCAAGGGCTCAACTCCAAGGTGCGGAACAAGGAGAAGGAGGAGAGGATGCGGGCTGACGTGAGCCATCTGAAAAGTAAGCCCTGCCCTCTAGTGCCCGGCCCCTCAGCCCTGGAGCTCGGCCGCAGCCAAGTCCAGTCCCATGGAACCTGGAACAGAGCCTAGAGCCCCACACAGAGCCTGCTGTGCATTGGATGTTCTATATATTGATGGAGTTTCTCCAGAATCCTGCCTGCAGGCATCTCCTTCCTTGGCGCTGCTTCCTTTTTGGCTGTTGGACCTCCTATAGGGGCGGGAGGGAAAAGCCTGCAGTTCTGCTCTGCCCAGCAGGTGGCGCTGGCTTCCCAAGGGATGGGGTCAGTGAGTTTCTCACTCTCCTGGCACCTGGGAACCTGGGAGGGGCGGGGTGGAACGGGGTGGGAGTGGAGGGTGCAATGGAACTTCCACGCAGGGTTCTTCGAGGAGTGCATCCGGAACGCAGAGCTGGAGGCCAAGATGCCAGTCATCATGAAGAACGCCGTGTACATCCACAAGGCAGCCACTCGCCGCATCAAGAGCTGCCGTTTCCACCGGCGCCGGTCCAGCACCACCTGGAATGACAGTGAGTGTGGGCGTCTGTGTGCCCTGATGGGATGGCGATAGTCATAGGCCATCAGTGACAAGGCAGGAAGAGGGCAGAGTACAGACGGCAGAGTGGGGAGGGCCGGCCCAGCTCTGAGGCCAGCCAGTGTGGCCTTGAACCTGGTCTGCCAGCCTTGGGTTTTTTCCCAGGACTAGGGGAGCCCATGCATGGGAAGAGGCTGGGTTTTCCCAGCACTACCACGTTAGGCAGTGAGTGAGGAAGGTGGGCTGGGGCTGGGGACAGGGCCAAGCCTTGGTGGAGGAAGGGCTGTTCACAAGCTGGTGGGGCCATCATCTCCCCAGTGAAGCCCTCCCAGTCCTTCATGACCTCCCAGCTGGAAGCCAACAACATAGAAGAGCTGAAGGAGGTGGCTAAGCGGCTGAGCCGAGACCAGCGCTTCCGGGAATCCATCTACCACATCATGGTGACTCAGCCTGGACCACCCTCGGCGCTCCCCAAGGGTGGGAAGTGAAGGGCTTTCCTCCCCAACTTCTAGGTTTTTCCTGGGTGGGGACTGGGATGGGGCAGCATTGGGGGGCCGACTCCGCCAGGCTTCTCTCAGCTCTCCTCTGGGCCACGGCTGCACCTGGGGACAGCCTCACCCTCAAAGGACAGGGACGCTGCCTCCCTCACCACCCCCACCCCAGACTCTACCCTTGGGTCTGTACCAGGCCCATGCAGGGCCCAGCCAGGTGCTGCCTGGCTGTGGTTGTCACAATGAGGCCAGGAAGAGGCCTGGTTGCATGTAGAGACTTTTTTGGGGGGTGGGGAGTGTGGTGGGCAGGCCCCACAGCTCTCTGTCACGCTCGCTCTACCTCTCTGTGACTCTGCCACCCTGCCCATCATGGTGTGTGCAGGCCTCTCCTCTTCACCTTGACACTCACCTCCCCTGAGGGCCTTTCCAATGCTCTCTGCTTCAGCGACCTATAGACATCCCTTAGTTGAGGTCCCTTACTTTGGCCACATCTGGGTTTGTGGCATACCACACCGCCACAGTATTGCCTTTCCTGAGGTTGGGCCCTGGCTGTGGGATCACCTGCTCGCTCCCCTCTGCAGGCGAGCTCATCCACCTACAGCCTCAGCACCCTATGAGGGTGATGTAATGCCCCCCACCCCCTGCATCCCACCTGCATAGGTGCCTAGGGCCCTGGCCCCTGGCTGGGAGCTGGGTGGCAGCGACACTGAGAGCTCCCCCAGAGGGTTCTGATAGAGGTGGCATCTGATAGAGGTGGCCCTGGCTCCTGCAGTATCTTCTCTTGGTTGGACAGGGAGGCTGCTCCCTCTGGCTACGGTGGCCCTGTTGGTCCATGGTGTCCCAGATGACTCCCTCCCAGCTGCCCCTGCTTTGGTCGCCCTGCTCCCTCCTCTCCCTGCAGAGGCTCTACCTGGTGAAGCAGTGTGACCATGAATCCTGGAAGATGGGGGCCTGGGCCTGCGAAATGGCCAGTAGCCATTGCTGGGCCCCGTGTCAGCAGGGGTGAAGCTGAAACACCTAAGGCTGTGGGGTGTGTCCCTCACCCAGCCCCTCTCCCTCTAGGCCCGCCCTCCAAAGCCTCCCTTTCTGTGGGTCTCTCCAGAAAGGGACTCTATCTGGGATCAGGGTGCTCTGGGACACTGGTGGCATGAAAAGTGCTGCATCTGCTGCTTGGAAAACTGAGTGAGGAGCTCAGTCTGAGATGGACAGATGTCTGCAGGGTCAGTCCCTGCAGAGGCACAGGTCCCTGGGGACTTGTGTGGGACCATTCTGTGGGAGGAGGAGCAGCCCCTGCTCTGTGCTCAGAGCTGCCTGGTGAAACTAATCTCAGCAGCCCCTCCTCCGTGGTGGGTGGACTTTGATGGCTTCAGCCAATCTCTTCCGTGTCTAGGTGGAGATGGAGGTGGAGGTGCTTCAGAATCAGTGCCTCTAAATTGGAATCTAAATTTCAAACCTTCACACCTGTAGAAACCCGCATCGTCCCGGAAATAACTTATGCAGTGTGTATGTAGGATGGACTTTGAAATGTGGGGGAAGGTTTATAAAGCCAAGGTTACAGTTTTATTCTTTGCATCTTTGTTTTTAAAGCAGTAGATTAATACTGGTTTGCTTTTGGAGAAAGATCTTTTGGACATTTTCAAATGCATTTCTTTTTTCTGGGCTAGCTATTAGCCAGAAAGCAAAGTGTTTTTCCGTGCACGTTCACCAATCCCTAGTGTCTTTCCTCCTGTTTCACCCCGTACTTACCATGCCTCAGGCCAATCTGGGTTATCTTCAACAAACCGGTCAATTCACAAGTATTTATTTGTTAAAAAACTCACTCTGTACCTATTACTGTAAATAGAAAAAGAACAATATTCCTATGTGAGAATATGTAAAGGTGGAAATTGCTTACTGGAAATATATTGATCTGGGTTTTTTTTGTTTGTTTGTTTGTTTGTTTTAAACAAAACCTTTATTCCTTGGCCAATTAAATGTTTCCTGCAATATTGCCGGCTGTTGGTTATTGCTGAGGAGATGTTGCCCCCTGCAGGTCAAATGTAGAATTACAGAATTGCTTGCTTGTTCTTGAACATTCAGGAAAGTTTCTCTACCCCTAAAGAAGTACTTCCTACAGGTGCACCTCTCGGGACTGGCTTGTTAATAATTAACTGAAAAATCTGTGTTCTTGCCTTGAGGTCCTGGATGTTCTCATTTAGCAAGGGCTGTCAGTTGGGTTTTCTTCTGATCTGAGCTTGAACAAAGGGACAGAGCAAACCTTGCCAGTGAGAATAGCCTCAGGGAGGCAAAGTTTCAAACCTCATTTTATGGCCTTCTAGTTTTGGTATCCCCACCAAAACCTGACAGTTTTACCTGCCCTGATGAGGACAGGTGTATTCTTTGGTTTCATAGTCAGATAAGGGAGAGCAAGACATAATAATAACTGGCTTCTCCCATTTGGTTTATTTTCTGATCAAACAGATCTGTCCTCATCCAGGACTGTCCTGGTTTGTGCGGTTCATTTGCTGTCATGAGTGTCCCAGTTTGGATGATAGTTCTGTGGTTACCTGCTTTTCCCCAATGATACATTAATGGATGAAGCCTGAGATCTGTAAAACCCTGGGTTCTGCCCCAGAAGGATCCACTCCCTGTGCTTGTTTCTGGAGGATGTAATTCTCACCCACCACCCATCCTACCCCGGCCAGCTCCACATGACCTGGGCAGCCTGTGGGTGCTCAGGCACCATCCACGTGAAATGTGGAGGCCCTAACAAAAGGTGACGGTGAAACAGGGACTCGCTCATGTCTCGGTGTGTCAGATTTGGTTTAACTAAGAAGGTAGTTATTTAAACCCACCAGATGAGAGAGCTGATCTGGAGCCCTCAGAGGAAGACCACCAGGGAACCTATGCTTCTGTCATGAGCCAGGATGAAGCTGCTGAGTGTCCTGTGCCACTGCGGGGTCTCTCTAAGGGCTCCCCAGACTGAGAAACCCTGCAGCTTTCACAGGAGCGGGGTGGATAGGGGGAGCTGCTGACTTCTCTTACCTCGCTCCACCCCTGGTGATTGAGGGCAAAGGAATGGCTTTTGCAAGGCTTTGGGAGAAGATGCCATTTTGTTCTTGACACACGGAAACAGATCCACTCCCAGAGGTCCAAAGCAGCTGGGAGAAACTGGTTGTTCAAACTTCCAAGCAGGTGTGGATGGGTGCGATGTAACATTCCCAATTCAGGTCCTAGCTCTTTGTACATCTTCTTCCCCCTTTCCTCCCCCTCCTTTCCCTTCCTTTCCCTAAACTTGGGCTTCCACTCATGGCAACCAATTCCTGTGACCCAGAAATGATCCCCCCTCTTCATCCTGCTGAGTTAGAGGTTTTTAGGGGACTCCAAGCCCAGAAATCTTCAGGGTTGTGGGTCAGTGAACTAAATCCCCTTGTGGTGAATTCTACCTGCAATTGTTTTAGTATGGTCTGGCGTTCTGTGTCCCTCTGGATTTACCTCTGGGTGAAACAAGACAATCAGGTGAGGAAGTTGCAGGGAGACAGGGTTTTCCCCGCTGGACCTCAGAGCTGCCTCCGGGAGATATCCGGGCAGCTGCAGAGCCAGCTGGCGCTGCCTTTGGGGCTCATGAGGTCTTGGCACTCTGCCTTGCTTCCCCTGGAGAGTCTGACACCTGCCTCAGGGCTGAGAGTCCTGCTGTGAACAGACTCAGCTGCCCTCTCATCCTATGGCTGATCGACCTCAAGGGTCACCAACCACAAGGGGAAGCTTTGCCCTTGCAGAGCAGTGACCTCGTCCACTAGACGCTGAGGGGAGTAACTTGCCCCACACTCTGCTTGCTGCCGAGGCAGAAAGTGGGAGCAGAGGGATGGGGGTTGGGGGCTCTGATGGTGAAAGGCTTTGCCACTTCCTGGCTCTGTGGCTTCTGCAAAGTCATTGTTTAAAATGTCTTACATATTTATATATTTTATTAAGTGGAAGATAAATCTCTGAAATCTCACCGGGCCGCTCAGAGCCCTTACAGTCCTGAAGGTCTGTGACCTGGGACCTTGCAGCTCTGGAATCAACAGAAACTGGCTGCCACAGCCGGCGCTGCGCGAAAACAAGGCTCCCTGGAGAACCGTCTGGCTCAGCCCGGCTGTGACGCTGTGCTGTGGTCAGATGACATGAAAAGAAAAAAATTTAGTTTTGAGAATAGGAAAGAGAACTGGCTTATCACCACAAGGCAACTGTGACCAGGCACTGCTTCCAGGCTGGTCCCCAGGATGGAAGGCTTTCCTGGGAGGGGAAAGGTGTCCCTGCGCATATTCTCACTGGTGTCGGAGCATCTGCCAGCGTCAGTCCTTCCGTCCTCCTTCAACACGTGTTCATCATGACTGCGTCGTGAAGTCAAGCCCTACAGTGTGCTTATCCTTGTCACTTACTGATGTTTTTCATTACAGTAAAATGTACATGATATAAAAGTTAGCATTTTAACCATTTAGGTGCACAGTTTAATAATGTAAGGCATAGTCATGTCATTGTACAACTAATTTCCTGAACTCTTTATTTCACAAAACTGAAATTCTATATACATTAAACTACTCCCTGTTCCCCGCTCCCCCCAACCCCTGGCCCCCTCCATTCTGCTCTCTGTTTCTCCGAATTTGACTACTTCGGATACCTCATCAAAGTGAGATTCTCAGTATTTGTCTTTTTGTCTTGGCTTATTTCACTTAACAGAGTGTCCTTGAGGTTGACCCATGTTGTAGCATGTGTTGGAATTTCCTTCCTTTTTTTAAGGCTAAAAAATATCCTATCACTTTTCAAAAGAAAAACATATTGAAATTTTTTTTCTGACAAACTATTAGCTAGTGGTGCGGGGGCCGTCTCAGCATACAAATCACAGCCAAGGAGGAGCTGAGTCCCACGGTTCCCCTGTTGCAGGTTGTTCCCCAGGACGGCCAAGTGTTAAGGGACGCTTTGGTGGTCCTTCTGCCTTCCTCCAGCAGAGGGCAGCGTGCTCTGAGCTGGGCCAGCAAAATCTAGCGGCTGGAGAAAGGGGATGGCGATGTGACACTGCATTACCGTGTTAATCTCCCCGTTGTTCTCTCCCTTAAGGTATGAAACAAAAGTCGCCACCTCAGACATCATTTATTTAGTCTTGTATACCAATGCTTTCAGTTTATCTTTTTTGTTCTCACAATAGCTCTGTCTTTGATGTATAGACAAATGAAACCCATAGAGGTTAAGGGATTTGCTCACTGTCACACGGCTTCTACATGGGGGTTCAGGTATTTGAGTTCAAGGCCAATGTTCTTTCTAGCATATGCACATAATTATACGTTAATATGTAAATTATTTTGTGACTGTTTTAAATAATTTCTCTCCCTTCCACAAATCTGTTGAGCCCCTCTGTGTTACAGGCCCCGAGATCTCTTCTAGTGTGGGCTTTTAAGGGGTAGACTCGGCTGCTTGGCGACTGGCAGTTTCCAGAGCACTCCTCCCCTGGAGAGCTGGCCAGTCCACTGCGCTGTGTCTTCCTCACAGACGGAGAGTCGCCGGTGAGGTAGGCGTCACAGGGGTCACGAAGAAACTCGGGCACGTTGTTCTGCAGGCTGTTGGCCACTCTCTTCCCCAGGTGTTTCGCTTCTGTTTCCCATCTTGTTAGGCACGTGAGTGATTTATGGTGAAAATCTGTGACTAACCAAGTGTAAATAAAAGCTCCTTCCATGACTGCAAAATGAAAATGCTGAGTGAAAGCATGGTGTTGTAGTTTTAATTGGCAGCATTTTTAATTTCCTCCTGTTGCATAAAATAACAGTGTGCCTTATACTCAGGGGTGTCGTGAGTTGGATTATGTGGTAGGTGCCAGCACTGTTCCGTTGCTGTGGGTGTGAGAGTGAATGAAGAGTCAGAGCCCCGGTTGTCTGTGCAGGTTGGCTGTGGAGAGAGGCCTGTACATGTCATTCAGGGACCTATGTGACAGCCAGTTTTCTGTCCCAGCCTATGATTCCAAGGTTGCCCTGGGGTCATGGTCTTGAGCCACCCAGAAGAATTTCTTTCTCCTCTTTGTGCCTGGAAGTGGCCTGGAGCACCTCTGCTCTCATTTAATTGGCTGAAACTCAGTCACATGGCCACATTCCACTCCCGAGGATTCTGGGAAATGTAGTCTGGCTGAGTGCTCAGGAGAAAAGGTAGGTATTGATGCTGATGAGCTGCATCAGTCTGAAGGTGGCAGGGAGTCCCAGCAGCCCAGAGCCTCCCTAAAGAAAAGACATGGAAAACACCAACGTACCCTCATGTCACTGTTTCTGGGGATGCTGTCCTGAATATCAAGCACATCGCTGACTGGGAAGATGTATATGACAGAATATTAACCACATAGGTATCCAGGTTTTAGCAGTAAATGGAATCTGTGGTGTTTATCCTAAATCATGAATCTCTACCTGAGACATTTTGGGCAGAAGAGATTTTTAAGGAGTGTTTGTGTGGCGGCACCACTTAGCACAGGCGATTCCGCCACACTACCTCTCTGGGGGCTAGTGGAACAGTGTGCTTGCTCTGGGTGTGTGTGCTGGATGGGAATGCAGGGCCCCAGCCTCCGGGAAGCAGAGCAGAGCCACGCACATGGGCGCAGAGGTGGTCGGAAGTCCCGGGAAGGAGTTCGGTTTTCGCCAGTCACAAGCTGTGCGACTCGGGTGAATACACAGGATTCCCCAGTTGTACATGCGCACCCAGAAGTAAATGCAACCCATCCTGCCTCACTGGTAGTCCAGAGGGTCCCGAGAAACCCGTTGAGGATCGTAAACCTTTAGAAAATGCTGCATGGTGACAGCTTCTGCACTAGGAGGGACCCCAGGGACCCTCCCTGAGTCCCTGGTGGCCTTGCTTACACTCACTGCATCTGATCTGTCATTTCTAAGCCACCTGTTTAAAAGCCTTTCCCTCTTCTGCCACAGACAGACACACACATTCACACACACGCACAGTACAGCTTGTTCAGGATGAAGCCTCCAAGGGCTGAGGCTGGTCGTTATGGGAAGTCCTCAGGGAAGGGCAGGAAGCTGGGGGCTGTGGCTGCCCTCCCACCCTGTGTGACAACGGAATGCAGCCTCAGTAAGCAGCGGCTGGCAGTGCCAGGAGGAGCCCATGTGCCAGGCGCAGCAGCACGCAGCTTTGTCTCCCTCCTCAGGCCAGTGTTTTGGGTTGGCTCCTTTCTGTCCCTCCACCTTTCTTCGCATGGCCCATTTCTGTCAGTCCCTGAATCCTGTGACATATTCTGGAGCTCCGGGCCTTTTGAGCCATACTGTCTCCTCTTGCTCCTCTCACAGTTAGTTACTAGAGGGAAGAGAGATTGGGAACCAGAGGCGTCCCCCCCCCCAAGTTAGGGCTATGCACATTACATCGCAGAGTGGGGGAGGGGTTTCTTCCACCAAAGAGGGGGGCGGGCAGTGGCTGAGAAGAATTCAGATGGAAAGGTAGAGGACCAATCAGGACATTTGTAGTTGTGGTGACAGAACACAAGGCTTACCAGGCTGGGAAGGACTCTGAATCAAAAGTGTCATTAGTCACAGGAACCAGGACCCGAGGGCCTGAACCTGGGGGCACTGCCACTGGGACCTTGGCTCTCTTTCTGCTTGTCTTTGCTGCTTTATCTTTGTGTTGACCTTGCTCTCTCCCCCTGCAAACATCTAGAGAGGTCATGGCCATGGGCAGCCCCGGCTTGGCGCCCAGGAGGAATGAGAGAGCTCCTTTCTTGAGGTTCCCTGTACTCCTTCCGGGAATAAATTGGTCCTGCAACTAAGGTCCTATGCCCACTGCTTGGCTGAGTCACTGTTGTGGGTGGGGAGGATGTGGATCTGGAATTGCCCAGGCAATCCTCCACTACTGGGAAGAATGTGTGCAGAGGGTGGATGCAGAGGAGCGTGAGCATGGGCGTGCAATCCACCGGGACTGGGACGAGCAATGTGGAGGAGCAATGGGGTGAGCAGTGTCTCAGCTCCTTGCTGCAGCAGCAGCAGAACAACATCTTTCCTTGTCTCCAGCAGCTTCCTGACGGCCGGGTGAGCAAGGCTGTGGTGGCAACAGCCTGATGGGATGTTAAGGAAAAGAGTGAAGCTAGAATGTTTTCCATGGTTTATTTTCTAAAGATTTTATTTATTTATTTTTAGGGAGGGGAAAAGGGGGGAGAAAGAAAGGAAGAGAAATATTGATGTGCAAGAGAAACATTGATCGGTTGCCTCTTGCATGCCCCCAGCCAGGGGTCTGACCCACAACCCAGGCCTGTGCCCTGACTGGGAATTGAACGTTGACCCTTTGGTTCGCAGGCTGGCACTCAATCCACTGAGCCACACCACTCAGGACTTGAACGATATTTGCTTGTAGATGAGACAAGTCCTTTCTTGCTAAGGGCTGAAGAACAGCAAAGCCCAGCTGTTTGGGGCCATCTGACTCTGCGTAGACAGGCATAGGGCTGAGTTTGGGTGTCCCTCCCTGAGATCGCAGGGAGGGCTGGCACCAGCTCTGCCATCACATCCGGGTTGAGCAGAGACAAAACCTTGGGGCTTCACAGGATAATAGTGAGGAAACTTCCAGAAATGCTCCACCAGTCCTCCCAACGCCACAGAAAAGGCACACCATTAGTTTGAGATCCCAGGCTCTCATCTGTCCTGTGAGGGAAAACTTGCAAAGGGTCCTTCCTGGGAGGAGTCTGGCCTCTCCGTGTAGACTGCAGAGGTGGAGCTCAGGAGCAGCCACCAGGTCCTGGCCTTCCTTACCTCTCCCTTGGAGGCCCTCGGTGGCCCGCCAGGGGGCGCCGCACACCCTTCCCCAGCAATCCCTGAGCTTCCTGCAGAGGGTCCTCATCTTCCCATCTATAAGCTGAACTGATCTTCCTATATTCAGTGAGGCACCAGCCCTCACCCCAATCCACCCTCAGAATTCAAGAACAAAGTAAGAAAAAAAATTCCATCACTATTAAATTTTGTGCCTCTTTCCACCCCCCTGCATCCACAAAAAGACAGGCAATGTTCGCACAAAGCCTGGCCCTCCAAGTGCTTGCAGAATGGACTCACTGTGCAGGGCTCGAGTGAGCAGGGCCGTCTGCAGCAGTGACTCTCAAACGCGAAGCCTGGCGAAGCGGGAGTGGAAGGGAGCCTATTTCTGGGAGGCGGTAGGGTGTCAGCAGGTGGACCGGGTAGAGCGGAGTTTGAGAATACATCCAATATTCTAATATAATTTAAATTGAAAATAAGAAGAAGAATCCAGCATTTTTGTCATCAAACCACAGATAAATCATGGTGAAGCTTCAGGGAATCTTTGCGGGTGGGCTATGAGTTTTAAAATGTTGACAGTCAGGGCCTAAGAGATCATTTGCTGTCAGTCCCTAGGTTTGGGAGGATGAAGTCTGTCCTGAAGGATGCAGCTGGTCCTTGGGACGGTGACCACAGCTTGGCCCCTCACAGGAAGAGCTGCTCCCCGGGGCTGGAAGCCTGGGAATGGGGGTGGGGCAGTTCTTGGAGTTTGGGTCACAGTAAATCTTATTAAGGAGACCAGTGACCCTCGTGGGAACACCACCAGGTGAACTGCCATCTAAATTGCCTGTTTCCTTGGCAGAACGGTTCATGGAGGACAGAAAAAGGAGAGGCACAGCATGGGAGAGTGACCATTCCCATGCAAACGAGGACTCAGGGCTCCCGAGACCCCTGGAGAGCAAGAGCCCAGATGAGAGGGGCAGGGGAGGCAGTTGGTGATGCCCCGGGAGGCTGACCAGTTCCCTCCGCTTGCATTCTTTTTACAAGGGAACTTTCTAGCTCCTCCCAGTGTCCCTCGAGTGGATTTATGCCATCTCGGAAGGGTGTGTGCTTTGTGCTGTGAGCATGCATTTCTGTTGTGACGCAACCACGCACTGGCATCTGCGCTGGGGGCTGACTGATGTGAACCTCTCCCCGGGCGGTTCGGTTTCTGAAAAGGTTTTTGGAACCGTGGAGCCAGGCTGGGTGCTGTGGCACCTCCACGGGGTGTGGGGGGTGCCGGTGCCTGGCTGGAGGAGGCCGCGGGACTCTTCGGGAACAAGCAGGCTGGGCACACACAGCCATGGATCTGCAGCCGCAAGCCTGTTCCAGATTGTCGGCCACCACATGGTGGTGTTCAGGGTGTCGCCGGAGTGTGCTTTGCTCCCCACAGGCATTTATCAGCTTGTAGGCAGGGGCTGTACTTCACACACTGTGCGCCCCTCCAGGGGGCCTGCTGCAGCCAGGACATTATGCTCACTGTCCATCTGCAGTCCAGTGAGGGCTTCCTGAAATGACCCAACGGCCCCAGCAGTGCGGGCAGGCTTCTGGCTTTTGATGGCACACTTTCACCTCCGTTGCCTCAGCTTACCCTTCCCCATCCACCAGTCACCTCATGGAGAAGCAGAGGCTGGTGCTTTTATAGTTTCCATTTTAAAGATGAGAAAATAGGTGTCAGAGAGGGGTGGCTTTGAGAGAAGCTTGAAATCCCACCCCGCCTGGCACTAAGGGGTAGGGCGAGGCCAGGAGCGATGATGGCTGGGGGCCCACAGTGGGGCAGGCGGCCTCCTCCGGTCTCCGGTCCCCTCCACACCAGGACTGCCCTCCAGAGGGAGCGTGATGCTGTGGACTGGGCCTGCTCTGCCTGCATCTTGGACAGGAATTCTCACTCACTTCTGCTTAACACGTTTCTCCTGGGACTCACTTTTCCTTAAGGAGTTT